TTTAAAAAACATAAAAATCGAGAATCTCTTCTTTCTCTATCATTAAAATTCCACATTTCTTCAAATCTTAAAATCTCAAAATAAAATAAACCATCTCGATTTTCAAAAAAATTCATTGAAGTAAATCTATTTTCATTTTCATGTTAAGAAAAAATTACTCGAGAAACATTACTTTGATGATCACACGCAGCCTGTGGGAAGTCCTCTAGATCGTTAAGGAGAAGCAGGAGAAAACGAACTGACCCGGAAGCTGGTGGCGCATCAAAGCAGAAGGAAGTGGTCGAGTATAATTTGCAAGAAAGCACCAAGTCTTGAATTGCATCGTAAAAGTAACTTGGTATAGGTGTACAGGTATCGACTTTCAAGGCAAAAGTAACACACAGACACATATACGCGTTATTTTCTCGAAGATTTTTCCTTTGCCTTGTGCACTTCATTGGAAAGCAATGAAAATCGAATTTCCATTCATATGGAAATATTTTTGAACGATAATATTGTTTTAAAATAACTTGAAAAGTTTGTGTTTGAAGAAATGTCTAATGCCTACTGTTGCAATATTTATTTTGAATTTGAAATTTTATAGATTTGTGAAATTATGTTATTTAAATTTACATAGGTATAAATTTATTCCAAAACTTATACCACTTAAACTTTTTATTATTTTCTTATGATACGTATTTCGAAATAATATTTTTACATAAGATAAAGAAAGCAAACAGATTCGTATCCTGCTCATCGTATTTACTATTAATTTATTGAATATAATAAATATACATCGAACATTATTTATTGCCATGATAATAATGTTACATTTTACGTACAATTGTGATAATTTAATCGTTTCATATTCATGCTATTTATAAATCTCCATTCCTCCGTTTTATACTTGAGATGACTTAAGTATCTAATTGACTTAAGTAATTAAATTGAAAATCGATTTTTTAAATTATCTAGAATAGAATATTAAATAAAATTATTTAATATTATTAAATTATTGTAAAATTAATAATAAATTTAGAAAATAATAATTAACAAAATCTTGAAAAAGAAAAAGAATAAAAACTTATTAAAAAATATATTAATATANTTGCAATCGAAATTCTGTTTCTTGATTGAAGATTAAAATGAAATATTACTTGAACTATAAAATTTTTAAAATGTAAAAAAAAAATATAAATTGCAATTTTAAAATTGATGTTTATCGAAAAATTTATTTGAAATTTATTTATATAGATATTATACCTTTGCCAATAATTTACGATTGTTTTCTTTACAAATAACATATTTTAGAATATCGAAAGAGTATTGATTATTGCATTAAAGTCATTCCAATAAATAATTCCCTAATTATTTTAAGCACCGTTCTTACCTCCATTATTATCATCATGAAGAATACTTATTCTATTAACATTATTACTATTATGGTGTTCCATAAATCAAGTCGATTAAATAAACGATAAAATACTACCTATTTTTAAGAAGAAAACAAATAAAATATTATATAAAAAAAATATACAAAATGTTTCTAAAGAAGATCTGCTTAATGTATTTTCTCTCGTATCAATTTGTATGATTTTTCATTCGCTCCATATGATTCGCATAAATTGTTATCAAAACTAATAATTTTTCTTGCACGTTTGTTAATTATTTATATATAATAGTAATACTGTTATTGTTTAAAAAATAAAATTTTAATAGAGAATTATAAATATTATAAAATGATTAAGAAATATTGATAAAAAATATTTATCAAATATTATATATCTTAATTGATATTAATGAAAAATTTTACTCAAAATAAATATACTTTGTTTAATTGTTTATTTTTAACATGAATTTAATTATAAAATTCGAAAAACTGTTGTAAAACAAAAAATAATGTGAAATATTTATAATATTGAATTTAATAATGAAAATATCTAAATTAAACAAAAATTCCAATAGATAGATAATATAATATTAAATCACAATCAACAAGAATCACGTATTATGATTACAAATAAAATGTAGAATCTGATATAAAGATATTTTATTGGAAAATAAAAATACGTACATTTTTTTTTAACCATTTATATTCTTTAAAGCTGTATTTTCTTATCATTCTACTATCATATTTATTATTATATTAATCTATATATTGTTTATATCATTATATTATATCATCTATTGCATTTTTCTTTATCACAAATATTGTTTTTTTTAAACAAAGTATTAATTATATAAATTATTTATTTCTCATTTCTAGAATATAATAGAAAATGTAAAAGGAAATATTAGTAGAAACTAATTATGATTTTATTTTTTTTATCAGCAATTGAAATTTTATACTTGAAATAATTTTAATAAACTTTGTAAAAATAATTATTCACGATTAATAATCAATAAATAAGTGAAATTTTTTGCATTAGTTTTTTACAAATATATATAATACGAATATATTTGATCTAATAATATTTATAATTTTTGATCTATAATTTTTTATTTTCTTATGTTTTTCAATTCGATATAATATATATTTATATGTTTATATAATTATTCTTATATTTTATAAATAACTGTTATTTATTGTAATAAAACTTTGTTATAATTTTTATCAATTTTTATCAATATTTTATTGAATGAATATTTTACGCTATCGGCTTTAACACCAATCTAGTATTCTTTTATGAAAAGAAATTTCAAATTTAGTACTTCCATGCATAAATTCCACTTCCGACTGTGTGGCACACTTTCCGCACTAAGTTTCATATCTACACTTATTACAAAATACGCCCACGTTTTGATAATATGCAAAGGAGAGGTGTTGCAATGATAAGGTTTGCATTATCAGTGTTTATTGATTGTAATTAAACCTCACGCGTAATCTAATCTAAATATATATAATATATTCGCATTAATATACAACGACCCAGTTTTTAATAGAAAAAATTCTAATTTAATGATGTTTCAAATAAAAAATTGTTTTAAAATAAAATATCTTATTAAAAATTAAATATTTTCAAAAAATATTTGAAAAAATTTTCATTATACATGATATTTTGAATAAAATATTTAAATTTATTATAATTTTTGCAATAAAATTATAAATATCTATTTTTAAATTGATAGTTATAATTTCTTTTATATTGTAAAAAAATGTTTATCGAAATAAATTCCGTAATCTCAATAATATTCAATGTCAGGAAAATATAAAAATGAAAAAATTTTTTTTATCTTTATCTTAAAATGAGTATTTCGTACGACAATTAACATAATCTTGTAATTATACGAAAATTATCGTAAATGTTTAAAAATAATTTATATTGCATAAAAAAAAACGAAATCTTATCGTAAACTATTGGCATTAAAAATTATAGTATTTTACTATTGATTTTATTAAATATATTATAATATTTTTAAATATTAACAAAGCAATTTTCATGTATTTTTCTATATATAAATTAAAATAAAATATTTTTTATAACAAAACACTTCTTAAGATGCATGAAAAAATTTAAGCTATAAACAAACATGGTGGACAATCGAAAGAATATGTCGATAACTGTCTGTGGAACTGCATAAGCACTTTGATTCGAACAACCATCGGTGAAAATTTTCATGACCTCGGATAACTTGGAAACGGATGCCGTAGTTCAAGCTAATATATGTTTTGCTAAATAGCGCAAACCGCAAGAATTATGGTGGCTTTTAAATTACAAAAGGCTCTCGCAACAACATTCCTCACCGATAATTACGTTGGCACATTACGATTTCTTATTACAAAAGTTCTATTATTTGCATCTTCATGAATTGCATGAAAAAATTTTTTCTTTCTAACGAAATATAATTAAGAATATATTAATATTTGGACACCGCCCTATTTTTTAATTTGTACATAAAATTATTTAAATTTGAAATAAAAGATTTATTATGACTTTTAGATACACAAAAAAATTTTTTATTATATTGAAAAAATTATAATTAAATATTTAAAATATAATTATCAAATAAAAATTATAAATTGCAAAGTATGAAATTTTTCTTTTTTTACAAGTATTTTATACAAAATATATAATTTTTCATGATATCCAAATATTAATATATTACAAAAAAAAAAAAAAAAAATATAAAATCTAAATTCTTTATAAAAAATGCTATTATAAAGAAGAAAGATCATTGTTATTTAAGAAAAGATACTTTATGTATCTATTTATAAATTGTATATATGAATATATGAATAGTTTATATTTTCACGTGTTATAAATAATATGATATTTATATATAAAAAGATTATAATAAATTTTTAGATACAATGAAATAAATTCAAAAATAGTATGATATTTGAATGTTAATATAATTATTATATTAATATATATTTCCATTTTATAAATTCTAACGCGCTTTCGTTATACTAATTAATCCGATTCAAAATCCTCGAATACGTAACGTTTACGAGTCGTAAGAAATGGATACACGCAATACTGCGAAAATACACTGTCATCGATCAGTAAACCTGTATATGTATTGGCTGAGAAAATGATAAACATTCCTTGTTCTCGACAATCTAAACGATCCAATACGTGTACGATTAAAAATTCCTCCTAAATCACTGTTTTCTTCTAACCTTACGCGGATGAAATTCAATAATGACGGCATGTCTCCGTACGTTACCCAAACTGGAAATTGCGAATCGACTGTAAGCGATATTTACATCATCAATATAAACTGATGGAAATTGATAGATATGCAAGCCAAAAAAAATCACAATAAAAGTTGCATGCACTATTGAAGACTTCTATAAGAATTTAATGTAATGCATATTATATCGAAAAATCATTACATCAATCACATTTATATCATAGATATATAAAACATCCATGAAGCGATTGTGAAACGCCCACGCATTGAAACACGCGCTCGACCACCGATCAGAACTTCTGTAAGGTTACGTTTGGAAATGCGAAACAAGAGAAAATTTGATTCTATTCGTTTAAAAAAGGAAATCATGCAAAAAGATTTACCTCCTCGAGAGATGTGATTGTCTGTCTGCATTGTGGCATCCGCGAGACGAAGGTAGACGTGGTGGGTGAATTATAATCCTCCCTCGTCTCCTCGACGAACTCGCTTACGGCGATTAGGCCCGGCATTTTTTCTCTCTTTCCACCTATATTGGCCGAAATGATGGAGACCCCCAAAAATTTTTTCACCGGTCTAGCACTTAGTGCCGTTACACTCACTTCACTCTAACACTACGCACTTCACCGTTTCTCCCGTGTGCACCATAAATTCCGCGGGAGGGCTGTCACCTTCTGTCTCCTCCCAATGCCGTTTCCCGTGACGCACGGTAAACGTCGTCCCGGTGCGACGAACGGACCCAGAGAGGAGCGTCGACGGGAGGGGGGAAGGACACAAAGAGAAAGAGAAGGAAGGGGGTTGAAAAGAGAAAGAGAGAGAAAGAAACTTCAAGCACACGGTCTGTCTTCTCTACCAGCGAGAGACACTTGCGCGACACGATTATTTCTTTAACATTTTGGTCGCTCGAAGTTTCCCGCAGTGGCCGCGAGGAAACATATTTCACACCTTTCCTATCTTCGCGCGGCTCACGCTGCATACACACTTTTACGCGCGTACGCGGCTGCGTCCTATAAAAATCTCTTTACACCTACTCGTCACTCGATCTAAAATCAACCTGATCGGTGCCGAAACGTTTTCGTTCACGGTCAAAGTTTTACTGAGGCGGCGCTGTATACACTTATACCTTCACCATTAAATTTATGGTTATATAGAAAGTCATTCGCATTAAATTCGATAGTGCTGCTATCTTACGATTTTATTGCAATTCATATTTTTGCTTATGAATGTTGCAATATATATGCATATTTACTTATATTTAGATTAATAGATACATTTAAATATAAAATAAATAATCGTGAAATATAAATTTATATTTCTTACTTTATCTATTTATAATTAAAAATTTTCTTATGATAACTTATAAATAATTAAAAAAATAGCACATTGTCTTGTGATATTTATGTTATTTGTTATCATTAAATTATTTAAGATCTCTAAAATTAACTTATAATAATAACTATAGTAGTAGAATAAATAAAATTTTAATATAAATGTACGATTTTTTAATTTTTATTATAGAAATAGAGAAATTAGAGAACAAGAGTTTCTTGTAACTTAAGTTGTTTTTTGCTTTTTGCTTTGACTTGGGCAGCAATGCGATCTAAATCTCTACGGCCTTGACTGGTAAGTTTACGTCCACCAACTGGAGATTTTTCAATGAGTTTAAGTTGTTCCAAGCTCTGTAGAGCTTTGCGAGCAACACCACCTGCCGATCGACAGAAATGGCTAGGATGAGTACCATTACGTTTGCGTCCTCCAAAAATTTTTGTTACTGCTCCAACACCAATTGGACTTCGAATATAAATATGACGAACTAAAGCAGCACATCTAATATAATACCAATCTGGATCATATGGAGCAAGTTCCTTGAATCGTGCAGATTTTACAATATCTACCCATTCTGGAACTCGCATTTTACCTGTCCTAAAATTTCCAATAAATTAAATAGTTAGATATTTAAAAAAATTGAGAATATATATTTTGTTATTTATTCACAACACTTTTTGAAATGAAAACTTTTTTGAGGTTATGTATCCGGTAGTAAAAACAATTGCTCACTTTTTCAAGAACGCGGCAAAAGCTTTTACGAATTTGTGCTGATCAACATCCTTAAGCGTTACGGAAGGCATCTGAAAGAAAAATTATAAATAAATTTAAGATTAATATTGCAAATATTGTACACTTAAACACACGTGTATTAGAATAACAAATATAACGAAATTCAATTAAAATGCATCGTGCATGTAAAAATATGTATACATATTGTATAAACTATATTAACTATTTTGAATCATAATTTGTACTATCTTTTTTCTAAAATAATATGCTAAAATAATAGAAAAATTAACTGAAGTACACACCTTTCTTCGAAAGCTAGCCGGAAAGAGATTGTTAAAGATGGTGCTAGAAGCAAACTACAAAATGGCTGTACTAACAGGAAACGACCAAAAAATTTTAATACATAGAAATGTATCTTAGCTAAATTATATTTATCATTTATTTATAATTATATGGAATTTAAGTATTTATTTATAAATATAATCCTGATTTAAAATTTATAAAGTTTATTATTTTTTATTGTTACATAATATAACAAAAAATAAATTATAAATTAATTTTATTTTTATACATGAAAATACTGCATTCATTTTTCATTTCATGTATGTATATATATATATATAT